GGCAAATTGCCAACAGCTGGCTGTGACCTTATAACGGTGTATCGTTTTCGTGGGAGCTGCTTGTGTGGTTTTCACAATCAGGAACTGTTTCGCCGTTGACTGAAGTAATACGCTCTGATACTCGACTTTTCTGTATTCTCTCACCACTACCACTAACACCTATAAGCATCCACTATTTTCAATCCTCTTTTCTCTCCATTTCCTTCCACATAAAAGCAGTTACTAATCGGAGCACAGTGGCGAGGCGCACGCCATCGCCTTTCGCTCCGCCCTGCCGCCGCGGTGACGTCAAGAAACCGCGCCGCAACGCGCATGGGTGAGTTTTTCTTCCTCCGGGGAACATCACATGAACGCAGGTTCACATGAACGCAGGTTCTGCTTTCAACTACATCAGCACCATATATTCCTCTGAGTGGCTCCAAATGAACCACGACAGGAGCGAAAATTAGCCTAGCGGATATCCTGGCTTGACCCATCGTGTAATTCGCTGCGGACGGTTGGGCGTGTCAGGCGGGATGAGTTTGGCGCGGTGCCAAACCCGTTCTCCACCAGTTGTTAAAGCGAGCAAATGATATGACTGTATCATATCGTTCGTATTACTCGTTTTCTACCACTTTTTGTCGCATGCGCGCTTCAACAAGAAGGCAGAGAACGGCTTTGACGGTGTGACACTCATACTGCCTGACACGCCCAATCGTCCACAGCGAACTAGAGTGTAATAAGGTGGTGAAGAAGTGAATCACCTACATATGAACTCCTCTGGATGCATACTGTAACTAAAATCCTCACCCCTACGGCAAGCAATAGTTTCTGATCATCGTGGCAGACCTTTCATTACAAAATAAGTTGATTGTAGTATTCATAAATGCGATGCGTGTTCTGCCCAACTTCCTCCACTCTCGAACATCCCTCCACCATTACAGGAGTAGCGCCACTTTATTCCATCATATTGAAGATCGGCAAATCATGGAATTGGAAGTATCGCAAACAGGGGTATGCGACAGCAGTTGATAAAAAACGATGGTACGAACGATATGATTCATTCTTCACTGGGAGACGGGCAAGAGAATCGTGAATTGCCGCTTCGTCGCGCGCGGCAATGGGCGCGACGTTTCCTTAATTTGCACTACCCTTCGATTGGAGCATCGGATTTCACGTAGACAAGGACATGGTGGACACTTATGTCCATTTTTGGTTCCCGACCGACGACATTGCCTATTTTCGACCAACTCACCTGAAATCGTCGTCATTAGCGGCGCGACGTCGCACGCGACGCCCACTGGCGCGGCGAATTACGATTCTTTTGCCACATATTCGTCTATAATTGCTCGCTCCAACAACCGGTGTAGAACAGGTGTAGCACCGCGCCATACTCATCCTGCCTGATACACCCTTCGCCCGCAGCGAACTAGACTATAGATTCCTAGTCGTAGTTTCTGCGATTCTCCCGAATCCGCGATTCGCCTATTCTCCAACTTTTTTATTTCCGCAAGGTGTGAACACGGCTTCACTGGCACTCTAAATTGATAACTCTATTTTGAAGCTTACCTCATAAACGAATAGATTC